TTTTTTTTTCAGTGAGATGAGCCAGTTTTTCCTAGAGAGTAAGTTTAGGTGCGATTACACATATTTGAAGCCCGGGAGCTTTACGGAAGTGGTTTGAATCCTTTGTTGCGCGTGATACTAGATGGGCGATGCCGCTCTAGTCTGTCGCAGCATGGCACCAATTCACCACGCTGGGACGAATCCTTATCGTTTACTATCAAGAAGTCACTGCACGAAATGTCGCGCACCTCGCTGGAGTTCCAAGTTTGTGCCTGACTAGATTTTTTCAGTTCTGACCGATTACTGTGGAATGGTCCTGTGCATTATCCCAAACTAAATCATGTTAAGGTTTATAATGCGCGCCGATTCGCAAGCGACACGCTGATCGGCGGCTTTCAGTGCGACTTAGGATTCATATATAAAGCGAAGCAGCATATGCTGCGAGAAAAATGGCTTGTTCTGAGAGCGGACTACCAAGAAGCTGCAGCAAGCGGTGAAATTGACCGACTTGCTTCTTCCGACATACGTGGATTTTTAAAGGTTTTTCTAGTTTCACTTACTTATGGTCCGAAACAAAGAAGATAACTTCTAGCACCAGCGATTTTCAATCTATATGAAAAGTGAGAGAGTAACACCATTGAATTTGCTGCTTCTATGCCTAATGCAATTTTACGGCTGTATTCTGTTGCTCATCTAGCTCGAAACCCCAAAGTGAATGCTTTAGAACTCAGAAGTTCTCAAGAAATGAATTCATGTATATTGGAGTCGATTTATGCTGGACGAGCTTATATTTGTGGCGCCTTTCCAAACCACATTTGTGGCGTCCTTTCAAACCTTGGAAAGCTCTGTGCAAAAAACATCAAAAACCTCAAACTGATAGTAGCAATAAAATAATACCGTTTTTTTGAATAGTTAAAATAAAAAAGCACTGCATGGAAAGCTGTGCTTCTGACTTTGTTGATTTCAATCTGGAAGGAACACCGACACCAAAATACCATTTCATCCAAAGTGACTCTTTATGTGAAGCGTGTGTTTTTCTACTTCGTTCCTCTACTTAGTTTTGTACTACTTACTTTCATAAATTTAACGCGCACAACCATATATCCAATGCAATGTCGCAAGTTTTAGCGTTCCTCTAGCTAAGTTTTTGGGCACTCAAATGTTGAGCCAGGTCCTAAAAAGCTGCCTCGCTCCTGATTGCTCGCAAGACTTGTATTACCTAATAACGAGGGTTTCAATAATTTAATAATTATTTGGAACTGCACAACAGGTATCGGTGAATGTTCGAAGAAGTCTCGATCCAGCACCTGCACCTTCGTTACGCAGTACCAAAAAGCGCGAAGACGAGGACATCCTTTTCTCAGGCTCACTTATGCAGTATACCATGCTGGTCATCTTTCAGCTTAGTTCATTTTTTATAAAAAGGCTGAAGTCATAAAAAAAAATCAGTGCATCAGTGCTTTCAGCTTATAAAAAAAGTCAAAAGAGCGAAAAAGAAACAACGAGCCAGTGCATTTGTCTGTTGAAGTGAATGTTTAGCTGATGGAGGCTTGCTTATTGGTTACTCGAGACGACTATTACTCACTGCACCCAACGTTGTATCTTGGTTACTTGAGAAGGAGAAAAATAAGGTGGAAAAAATCAAATAATCGGTGTAAATTTGGGCTTGCAGGTGAGAATATTCCAGTTGTGCCAACTGGCTGACCACCTCCGAATGCATGAAGATGAGGTTGCTACATTAGCCGTCCAAGTACAGGTATATCTCAGTACTCCTGTTTTCAGCAATTACTTATTCTAAAGTCTCTTAGCACAAACATATTTTTTATTCCTCTTTCGCACTGCATTGTGGTAGAACATCTGTATGAGTGTGTGTGTGTGCGTGTGTGTGTGTGTGTGTGTTTGTGTGCGTATGTGTGTGTGCGTGTGTGTGTGCGTGTGTGTGTGCGTGTGTGTGTGCGTGTGTGTGTGCGTGTGTG